GCCGGCGGGGCGCGGTTGGTCCTGGCGAGGGCATTGAGCCGTACGGCTTGAACCAGGAGGCACGAGAAACAGCCGGCGAAGAGAACGCCGAACAGGAAGCGGCGCGACGCGCAGGTGGAAAAGTTCTTCCCCACGATGAAGGCAAAGGTCAGGCCGAAGAGGCCGGACGCGCACACCAGGAAGATGGCGTGCAGGCCCACCGCGTTCCTGCGGTTGCGGTCCCTCATGAAGGGCACGTTGGCGAGCAGCACCATGAACAGAACCAGGCTGACGACCGCGCCGGCCGACGCCAAGGCCTCCAGAACAACGCCCCACGCCGCCTCCAGGTCGCACAGCTTGAAGTAGAGGGACGACACTTCCGGACCGCAACCCGTAGGTTGACTCGCATTGGACGCCATCGCTCTCCTCAGCAACACTACCTGTTAACATGCACACACAACAAAAACACTTGTGTGAACCACATATATAGACACTCGGTCTCTCACACACACACACACACACAGAAACGACCCCACACACAAATGCACAGAGACTTATTGGCAGCTCTGAGATGAGGAAGACATTAATGTTTAACCCAAGTCAAATATTTCAACTTTCACGCGGGTGAAAGTGCACCAATGTCCAACGCGAGCCGCTTCCTAAAAGTCTAACCGGCGTAGTTTGGTGTCGCACAGTGGCGTTCGGCGTAGTTTAGTCTCGTGTACTTTATTGTAGTGTTGTGCCGTTCACTGTACTGCAAGATTGTTTCATTTCGTGTTGTGCGGTGGCGTTCGGAAGTGTAGTTTAGTACAGTGTCGTGTAGTTTAGTGGATTTCAATTGCGTGCGGTGGAGTTAATTGTCCCCCCCCCTCCCCCAGAACACGTGACCTCGCGTCAGCCAAGCCTGTGCGATAGCGACAAGGTCCCCGTGACGGTTGCCGTGGTGACCGTGCACCTTGGCATGATTGGCATTTCTGAAGCATCCGCATCCCAATGCGAATGTGGATAGTTGGGAACCAAGCAGAAGTACATGTGAACGCTACACAATGAGGCAAACAAACAAAACGAGAAACACGAAAGAGTGATACTTTGTGAACTTGTCTGACAAAAAAACAAAACAAAAAAAAAAACAAATAACGGTTGGTGTTTGGTTAAATACTTCCTAAGACAAAAAGTACAACCTGTACAAATTGACAAAAACAATTTACAAATGAAACGGAGTCGGAGTGATGCGTTCACGTACCTGATTGCTCGGCTCAGATTCACGTGACGAGATCAGTCAACGCAGGAGACAAAAGTGGAACAAACGAGACATTCAAACCGGTCTCAGGTCAGCTTGTTTGTGAGGTCAGAAAGTGAAGCCAAGTCCCAGGAGAGGTCTGAGGAGGCTCGAGGCTCGAATGCGGCACAGCACAAGCTGCAGCTCTTCTACTAATACTCCTGCTGCTGCTGCTACCAATTCACGCAACAAGCACACACACACACCTGGTGAAGGGTGTAGCGACGCCTGGTGGTGAAAACTCCCTGTGAATTAAAAAAAAAAAAACGTCAAAAATGTTCATCCTGTGACGCTGACAAAAACGTTATTGTATGTCATCATCATCATCATATGTACATCATATCATGTCATTGACCTTGTTGGTGCTTTTAACTCAGACAAGATTCTTTTTTTTTTTTTTGGTTTCGATTGTGATTTGTTTGGGCAGAAGTTTTCTGAGGCAAAAGCAGATGGCCCACATGAAAGCTCTTCTTCTTCTGAACCCCGGGTCACGTAATGAACTCGCGCTGTCATCCGAACCCAGCCCAGGCTCCACCCAGGAAGCGGGCACAGCCGATGACCCACATTCCAAAGTCATCGTCATCCTCGGCAGCATCAGCATCGACTTCATACTCGGCCGCCGGGACGCTCAGAGAAGAAGTAGAAGATGGAGAAGATGAAGCCGGCGCTGCTACTGCTGCTGCTGCTTCGGGCTGCGTGTGTGTAAACGGCGGCAGCAGGTGAGACAAAGATCTAAAATTCGGTTTCTTTTGGTGATGGAAAATGTCTTAGTTGATTGTGGGTCAAAGTACATCAGCGTAAGGTTGCATGGAGACTCTAAATTAGACTTGATTGTGAAGTTGCGTGCAATCTGTCTCGTACTCCACTTCTCGGCCGAAGTTGGCTGGGACTGGCCCAAATTCACTCCAGTGCGTAGAAACGACGGAGTTGTAGCAACCTGATGAACACAGAGATGATCCATGAGGAATGGATCAATATCTGGACTGCACAGGGGGGGGAGTTTTAATTAAATGTGACCCACAATCAGGCACCGGGAGACCGATCGATGACCTAATGACTGTCCCAGTAACAGTGGGCAGAAGCTCTACATTCAGCGCTTGATCTTGTTTTCCTCTCATTATTTTGGAATCCCCTCAATCAACTGTCTCGCTTGGGCTCAGGCCGCCTGAAGGTGGACGGCAGCCCAGACGGCAACGCAGACACCCTGAGCCACTCCCTGACGCTGGTCCAGCGTCTGGAGGCGCTCTTGGTGCTGGGCAACGGCAGCGACGTGACGCTGCGGGTGGAGACGCCCAACGCGGATGAGGTGAAGCTGATGGCGGTCCACGCGCTGGTTCTGTCACTGCAGAGTCCCGTCTTGGAGGACATGCTGCGGGAGCGCAACGGCAGCGTGCTCACGTTGCGCGAGAGCCCGGAATGCGCCTCCGTCTTCGAAAAGTTCATCAGGTCAGGCCTGTTCCGCGCACTGCGCTCACAAACAGAATGGTCACCTGTAGACACACAAAAAAAAAAAAAAAAAAAAAAAAAAAAAAAAAAAGCATTCTCAGGGTCAATCACACCTTTGTGGACACTTTAGACTAGCATCTTGGCTGAAGAGAACATGCTGAAATGTTTTTTGAATGACAGTGACTCTATTTCCCGCGGCTAGGTACCTGACACTTCAGACTAGCATCTTGACTGAAGAGAACATGCTGAAATGTTTTTTGAAATGACAGTGACTCTATTTCCCGCGGCTAGGTACCTGTACTGCGGCGACCTCTCCCTGCGACTGGACCAGGCCACCCCGCTCCATCGCCTGGCCACTAAGTACCAGGTGGTGGCACTGCGGCAGGGACTCACACGCTACATGACTCTCAACCTGGCCCGGGAATCGCCTTCGGGCCACGTGGCCGGCTGGTACGAGTACGCGGTGGAGGCAGGCGACGCGACGCTGCGGGACGGCTGCCTCCAGTACCTGGCCTGGAACCTGTCCTCGGTCCTGCAGAGCGGCGAGTGGACCGGTCTCAGCTCCCAGCTGCTCATGACGCTACTGCGGCGTTCCGATTTGGTTCTGCACAGTGAGATGGAGCTCTTTGCCGGACTGGAGGAGTGGATCTCGCACAACCGTCCCGACGGTCTGACAGCGGAGAACGCGCTGAGAGCGGTGCGCTACGCCATGATGCCGCCTCGAGAGCTCTTCCGCCTCCAGACCCAGTCGGCGGTCTTGGCCCGCTACCGGGAGTCGGTCCGGGATCTGCTCTACATGTCCTACCAGTTCCACGCCGCCTCCCCCGTGCACATGGCCAAATACTTTGACGTCAACTGCAGCCTCTTCGTGCCCAGGAACTACCTGGCCCCGCTTTGGGGGTCCCCCTGGGTGGTGAGCAACCCAACCCGCGACGATCGCAGCACCAGCTTCCAGACGCAGCTCGGGCCCAGCGGCCATGACGCCAGCAAGCGGGTAATCGACACATTCTGTCTCCCGTGGGTTCTTTTGCTACATTCGGGGAACACACACACACACAAGCGATGAGTTGAAAACGGACACCTCGATGTCAATGCGCAGGTGACCTGGAACGTCTTGTTCTCGCCCCGCTGGCTGCCGCTCAGCATGAGGCCCATGTACACAGAGACGGGCGCCATGCAGCCCACCCGGGCCGAGGGCGGGCGTCCCCGCATCATCGTCACGCCCGCCACGTCCAGCGCCGACTTTGCCGGCGTGAGCTTCCAGAAGACGGTTCTGGTCGTGGTGCAGCAGCAGGGCCGGCTGCTGGTCAAGCACGTGTACGACTTCCACCAGAGCACCGAGGAGAACGGAGACTTCCTGGCCGACGCCGACCTGCACCGCCGGACCTCCGAGTACCTGGTGGACGGGTCCCTCATGCTCCACGTGGTGGTCAAACCCATGTACCAGAGCCTCGTCGCGAGCAAGAACTAATCACGTACACATGCCAATCGCAACCACACCTTTCCATCCATCTACTGTTGACTTATCTCAACGTCTGCATCGTCGCAAAGGTTCAACGGGGCCACCGGGAATCCTCTTGTGCGTTGAAAATGTTTGAGAGTAACATTGGATTACAAATCAGTGCTCACGTGGGCTTGTTCACAGCGCTAGTGCTCCATTCATCCTCTACCATTTTGTTGAAGCCGGATGGCCTTCTTTTTGACGATCTATCATGATCAGGGCTCGGCAACTTGGCTGATCGGGATCGTTATCGGGCTTTTACGGAGGTTGCGTTTCAATCAGGAGGAAAACGTCTAAAAGAAGCGGGACTGCGGCTCTCTACGACCGCACTTGCCGAACCCAGATCATGATGATGAAATTCGGTAATTGCGTGCTGTTACGCATTGTACAAGTAGATGCGAAAGAAAAAGGAGGGTTGAAGATTGGCATATTTGTGCTTTTACTTGTTGTTGCTGTTGTGTCGTCGTCCTTCCGCCACATTGACGTTGTGTTGTCTCTCTAAGTTACGGTGCTATTCTATTACTATTGACTTCAATGTAGCTGCAGTGCTCCTTTCTATTATTTCGACATTTATCCAACGTTAACACTTGAAACGGTCTTGAAATATTACAAGAGTGAAAGCGCAATAATAAACTCGTTCAAAGATGAACACTTTGTCCGACACCCGTCAATCAAAAGGACACAGCGGCGGTTTGATACATCAGTGTATCATCACGTGGGTTAGAAAGGAAGAAAGGTATTTGTTCAGGTTTTCTGTCGCCGAGTTAACTGAACTGTCAAGTGTGAATACTCGCACTGGTATCGGTCGGGAAAAAAGTTGCATCAAACATTGCTCACCATGATGCATCAAAGATTTGCACTTTACTTAACATGACTGGAACACAATATAAAGTGAAGACTTATTCTACATGCGTGTGCGTGTGGAAAGTACCTGAACGCACACGCAGCACGTGAGGACTCCACTTCCCATGATGCCTTGCGCCCATCGGAGCAGGAAGCAGCTCGCCAGTTGAGGGGCTCGCTGGTGCGATCCAAGTTGGGAGCAGCCTCCGTCGGCTCAACCTCGTGCACGCGCACCGGCTCCTCTGCAGGCTTCCTTCGTGCAGCAGGCGCGCGAGTGCCGCGCGCTAATCGGAGCGGCGCACGCACGAACGCGGCGGGCGTGCACGCGGATCGTCGTGCACGTATGTGCGCCGCGAGAGGCTCCATGCAAGAGGAGGAGGAGGAGGAGGGGGAGGGAGGAGGCCCCGCACCTCTCCCTGGGGGGCCCCACCCCGCGAGAGCCAAGGGAGGTAAGCGCGTCGCCTTGTGGTGTCATGACGTGCAAGCACGCGGCTGAT